GGTTAGCTGTGTCTCCTACAAGGACAGGCTGGCTACTAGCCGGCCGCACATAACCTAAAGAATACGGTTCAATGCCGGAAGTCCGAGGAACCTCACTGCATTTGTACTTAGGTGGGGTACTAACCACAGTGCTGCCAGGTGAGCTACACCTACACAGGCTACCTAAAGAGGACTCCAAAGAATCAGTGGACATCATCCCTGGTGAGCTAAATTGGGGCTGGGAAAACTAAACTAAATGGCCTATCTAAGACCCCCCTATTTAATGGCTCTCTGCCATCGGTCCTTCGGATGAGGTCCCGTGTCGTAATTGCTGCTGGCACGAAGGAAACTGCCCCCCTCCCTCCACCACCCTTCCCCCTCTTAAATGGCTCTCTCTTTTTGGATGAGGTCCATTGTCGCAGTTGGTGCTGGCACGAAAAAGACCCTCACCCGTTCATTGGCTCTATACCATCGGATGAGGTCCCGTGCCGCAGTTGGTGCTGGCACGAAAAGGATCCCCACCCGTTCAATGGCTCTCTGCCATCTGTCTATCGGATGAGGTCCCGTGGCGAAGTAGATGATGGCACGAAGAAGATTCCCCCCTGTTTAATGGCTCTCTGGGATCGGTCCTTCGGATGAGGTCTTGTGTCGCAGTAGGTGACGGCATCCTTTCCTGCTGTTCGATGGCTCTGTAGGACTGGTCCTTCGGATTAGACTGTGCACGAAAAAGATTGGTTCCTCCTTGTTTAATGGCCAATGGAGCCAAGTAAAGAATTAAAGTTGCAGCTCTCGACGTGCACGTGGTGTCACCTACCTATATATACGAGTTAAAAGTTCTCGAGAGGGACGCTAAACAACAACCAATCAATTCAAAATCTCTGATTCATAGCGGGCAGCTACTTCATTTCAGTCTGTTTTGCTTGAAACAAGCGATCGAAGTCGGGGTAAAAAAAAAACGAATCACACTGTGTGGGAATGGACTGAAATGGGTAGTAGACTTTTTTGCTAAATATGCAATACCAATGCTGACAAATTCTCAGATATGGAGTCTTCGAATGTGAATGAGAATCTCAACCATGTGATTGCGAAGAAGACTCTAAAATCACAGCATTAGTCCGGGTCAGAAAGTCTAGCTTATCGCCTTTCTGCATCTAAAGCACAGAAAAATGAGGTTCACCAGTATCTTTTAGAGGTAGAATAATAAAGTACCCTTTTCGTTTAATTTTGAAGGGGTGGGGGTAAGCAATCCTTGTTATAAGAACTATGTGCATGTCATATTTTTTATCTATTTATTAAGGTCAATAAAACGTGCAATCTCTCACCTGGGAAACATGCTAAAGAATAGATAGTTTTCGATAGGCCTGAATTAAGCGAAAGTTACCTCCCGTTGATCGCCATATTTAAGGTCGACTCGGTGATTTTCCCTCTTTGTCTTACCAAGTTTAAGAGGTTGTAGCAGAAATATTAATTTTGGTGGAAAATCGGTTGAACAATGAAGGAATATGAGCACTTGGACCTCCAGTATGGCGGCCAACGGGAAATAACTCTCGCTAAATTCTGGCCTATCGAAAACTATCTATAGTTTCACAAACTGGAAAAAAAAGTGAAACAGGGGACTATCCAGGCAAAAAGGAAGAGACTAAAAGCAAAGGAAAATCGGCATTTTGTGCAAGTAATGGAGAAATTAACGGGAATGAACTACATATGAATCAGGTGTTTCACTAAATAAAGAAGAGGTTCAGCTTGATGAAGAAATTGCAGAAATTCCGTTGCCAGCAACTCCTCAAAACGGACAACGAACACTCGTATCTACTTTTTCCTCATTTGTAGAAATGGACCTAGAAACTACAGGATTCGGTGATTTTTTCACATAAAATTAAAATATAAAAATCAATAAAATCTACAACTATTTTCTAAATAAACGTTACGTACATGTACTTCCATGTTTATATTTAGCTACATATAGCAGTAATACCCAAATACGCGAGTTTCGAGATTGTAACTCTCCTGCGATAGAGGCGCAAAAAGTATCCATTTCAGCATGGAGGTGGGACAGTTTGTTTATGTATAAAAACGTGCATAAATAAATGAACGATATTGATGGCTTTTGATATTAATTTAATGTAATAGAAAGTTAGAAATGTTAAGCAATGATGCCTTTTATGATTTTATCAAGCTCAACTGTGTATATTTAGATATCTACTTTCAATTATAGGGTACTTGAAAACGATATAAACGTCGTGGTCTGTATAAAAAGTAAAAGATGTTCTTGATTGTACAAAAGTTCTCTAAAAAGTAAGTGGGTTTTTTTAAGTTATAATAAGGGAAAAAAATCAATGCATCATTTAGATTGCCGACATGTAATGATCAGATTCATGTTTACCGTATTTATTAGAGGTCCATATATCTCTTCTGTTGTCGGAAAAGTCTCACATCCACTGACTTTTTTTTTGTTCCGATTTTTTGTTTAAAAAAATGACACCTTTACTTTAATTTGGTTATTCTGGAGTTGAATAGTGCATCCTTATAATTATATAGTTACGAGAAACCAGTATATTGATGATGCGATATATCCAACAATAAATATCTGTCCAACCTGTTTGTTTACGCGACAACCAAACTCCCCTCCTCAACGAAAGAGCGCACCAAGGGAGAAAATATCGAAACTTGCGTATTGCAGCGAGAGATTTTAAGACTTCTGATCACTTTGTGAGATTCATCATGCCACAGAACTGTTTCTTTCCGTCTACAGTGTCAAAACTTACTGGTATTGAAACTCCTGGGTTGAACATGTATTATAACCTTATTCCAGTTGAATCCACAACATGCAAACGTGCTATTGATGAATTTTTGGTATGGTTGAAAAAGCACAAGTCATCGCTCCTGGTTGCTCATAACGCCAAGTTTGATGCACACATTCTTGTATCAACCATCTGCACGCTCAAAATGAAGGATAATTTGAAAGATATATCTGGATTCATTATCCAAAAACGAATTCCCAGGTAGAATCTCATACAAACTGGAAGGTCTGAAAACAGATCTAATTGATGATCAGAATGAAAACTTGCAATTGCATAATACATAAGTTAACGTTAATGTATTGACTAATTTATTGAAAAAGGTATCAGGCGTTCATGAAAAACTGATGGCGAACTCATTTTCAACCGAGAGGTGTTCTAGTAAATAATCGTCGCCCGCGTGGCGCAGTGGTTAGAGCGTCTGCTCTAGAGTCGCGAAAGAAGGAGTCAATCCTTACGTGGCGGGTTCGAATCTCACTGTTGGACGTGGAGACCGGTCCTTCGGATGAGACCGTATAAACCGAGGTCCCTTGTCGGAGTAGGTGCTGGCACGAAAAGGAACCCTCCCTGCTCAATGGCCCTGAGTGCCGAGTATAGGACAAAATTTGTAGCTCTCCAACGGCAAGTGGTGGTGTCTCCATATGAGTGAAAAATTCTCGAGAGGGACGTTAACAATATACTATCAATCAATCAACAATAGTAGTAAATAATCAAAAACTGACAAACTAGAAAATGTTTTTCGAAAGTTAAAGTCGCTTGATAGACCAAAATGTACTTTCAAAAACACAAAGCAGCAATCTAGCTGCGCAGAGAATTAGTGAGATGCACATGTCTTTGGCCAGCAAACGGACAGGAACAGAAGGAATAAGGAATATATTGAGGGGAAAATTACAAAACTCGAGTCTGTTGTTGAGAAACTTTCCGTATTCTACGGGTCAAATAATACATAAAAAATTCAATACCCAAGTCTTTCATACATGTTTACGCAACATTGGTCATAATAACGACGACCTCGTATGTCATAGGGGTCAAGTTAGCTTGATTTTCGTATTACATGGAAAAATATCAGGTTTAATTCAATGTTATGATTGAAAAAAATGCTCGAGTTTAGAATTATTTCACACTTTTGCATTTCTGCTGATTTCTGCGACCATGTATTGGTGTAAATAGAAAATTTGTGCCATCCTGTAAATATTTCTCTTGGAAAAATAAAAGCTTTCATCGTTCAAAATTAATTTTCTATGATAATATTATCAATCAGAGAAAAAGCGTTGTTCAATTATTTGACGTCGTATTTATAACGTCGCAGGCATTTTAAACTTCAAATGCAGAAATGCGACGTAATTTTCCTAATAATTAAAAACGTATAAAATTAATAGCAAAAAATCTAGTGAGGAGACGTATGACTTTTTTTTTATATATGACTTGAAAATCACCTTTTCTCTACTTTCAGAAATTCTTTATAGATTCGTTAAGAAAGTTGTGTGCAATTTCTTTAAGTAAAAGTCCTGTAAAATGACAAAAAAATGCTCATTGTCATCTTCCTCGGGAGATGACACATTAAGATTGTATGCCGGAAGTGAAGCCTCCATTAATCTTTCGGGAGTCCGCGATGTTTTACAGAGTTCCAAGTAGTCTGTAAACTGATTTACTTTTAGAAGAACTAGCTTAGGAGTGTGTGATCTACTTTCGGTTTAGGCCTATTTGAAAGCCAAGGAAAATTCAGAAATGAAGTACGATACTTATAAATATCTATAGTTTCGGTGTGTCGTATATATATTGATCCTCAATACTATGCCTATTTAAATTGGTAAGCCACACAAGGGGCCAGTTTTATTTGTCACTGATCGGCGTACGCCAAATTGCGCCGGCGTAGAACGGCGAAGAGGCAAATGAAGTAAACCAGCAAAAACATTTTTTAAAAATGAATAATTACGTTAAATGATAATCAATTAATTAATCTTTATCATTTTTTACATGATATCTTAGTTAGAAAATTCGAAATTCAAATTAAAGCTGACATGAACTCTTAAATATAGTCGCTCCGTACCGCCGCCATATTACTTTCCTATCAACGATACTCCACAACGGGGTATAGGCGGTTAGATTGTTCACGCATGGTTGCTTTCATCTAAGTGTTGCCGAGGCATAAAGGTGACAAGAGTTACCGTTCTTAGTTTACGATATAATTTAGAGAAAAAAATCCCCCCCCCCCAAAAAAAAAAAACGTGCATGCACAGAAAATCCAAAACATAAAAACAGCAACACAATATAATATCCGTCATTTGTAAAAGGTAACGTTACACGCTTAGTTTAGAGCCACGGAACAGGACTTAGCCATTTTCACTTGGACTGCGCAAATAAACTCCGACAGGCGGCGAAAAAAATCCAGGTAAGTACAAAAAGTAATGGGGAAACAAAAACTTTTTATCTGTTATCAAGAAGTACATCAGCAAACGCGTTTCTATCTAGCAAACACATTTCTTTCTTGGACACCAACGGCAACGTGTCCATCTTGCAGCACGGACTTCTCTCAATAATATATGCGCATGTGCGACAAAATAGCCACAAAACGAAAGTAGCGTGAACGGGGAGAATGCATTATTTCTTTTACCATTATCAAACCGATCACGACTACAATTTGGTGTAGAAACCATTTGTCTGGAAATATTTACAAACTTGGTCTACTGTACTAGAGAAGGATACTGCAAGATAAGTCCCCCTTCCTCATTTTCGTGTTTTATTGTTTGCTCAAGTAGAGTTTGACACTGTTTACATTTACCACTGTTTACAAACAAATTTACATGGGTGATAAGGTGTACAATCAGCTGATTGATATTTCTTTCCATAATTACTGTATCTATTTGATGTTGCATTATTAAACAGAAAAAACTCTCTCTCTCTCTCTCTCTCTCTCTCTCTCTCTCTCTCTCTCTCTCTCTCTCTCTCTCTCTCTGATGTGATATGAAACTCAGCTGCAAGCTACAATATATGAATAAAATTGTCATTTCTTTTCAATGCACACATGGTAGACACACATGGTAGAGTAGAGGCTCCATATATTGTATTAAAAAATATAAATGAACATTTCCTGATCCATACAGTTAATTTTATTTTTAGTCTGACATGATGGAATTTAATAGGACAATAGATGAAGAAACTGAAGATATGGAATGTGAAGAGTGTGATATTGAGGTAAATGTACTATTTATTTAAACCTAAGTCTGAGTCATTTGTAAATTCCAACCACTTTTCCTTGACCAATTCACCCTAGCTAAACCTATAACTCCGAAATTATATATGTATATTAAAACGTTTTTTCTCATTTCAATCGAGATTGAGATATAAATCAACTTACTTAGACAGTAAATATATTTGAAAAATTGATCACTTAAAATAGTTCATTGTAAATGTTGTGTAACTCTGGAAATATTGACTGTGCCCTATAGGAACAGGAAGAGGTAGATGATATTTTGAGAGAAATATTTGGAGATGACACAGAAGATGAGGAGGTGGAAGAAGATGTCAGTGAAGAAGATGGATTGTGGAATAAGAGTGAACAGTATGTATAGAAAATTTATAACTACATGTACATCTTAGGCCGGAATTAAAAATATCTTTGTTTCCCCTAACCCGACCCTAAATTTTCAAGTTGGGTCGGTAGGTAGGTAAACAATTTTATTTTCCGACAACAGCTTTGAAAATATATTCTAAAGTTTAATGGAAAATTGCCTTTTTAAATAAGAAAAGTACAAAAGAAAGGGATGTGTGAAGAAAATGCTAAGTATCGTACATATGCCGTTTCAAAGCAAAATTCATGATTAATTAATTCACAACTGTTTTTTAGTTGAACTAATGTGAAATATCTCACGCCATCACATCTATATAAATTGAAAAAAAAATAGACAAGATTTTCAAATACTCAAAGACCAGACATACGAGTATATTTTTGAAACCTTCCATCATCCTTCAGAGCTTATAGACGATCATTGTACTCTTTTGAGGGCCATGAAATTTTCAGTGGTTCTGGAGCATTTTGCTTTGGAGTTAAGAAGTAAGTGGCTAATTTTAAATCGCAGGTTCAAATCCAAATGAGTAACGTTGAAAACAGTCCTTCAAATGGACCATAAAAACTTATGTCCAGTGTCGCAGAAGATGCTTGCTCAAAAAAGATCCCCCACTACTTAATGGCAAAAAAAAAGTGCTGAGTACATCTTAATTTGGAGCAATGGGGAAGTGTTTAAATGTCGTCCTAACAAATCTCGAAGGGATTCAAAGCAAAGAAACAACCAATCTTCAAGGGCCTAATTAAAGAAAAATACACTGAACGTCTCAGGAAGTTTAACCACTTAATAAAGGCATGAAGTATGGACATCTGAATTATATTTATCAGGATGAATATGCAGACATATTTACAACAACTCTTATGGTTCCATAATGGCATATAGTAAACATAGGAACATAGATAAATTGGTTATGAGATCAAAACTCAAATTAAATAAAATGCAGTGAAATTGAATGATGTGTTCACTAGGTGGGCCCCTCATCTAATCATGAGGCGGACCTTACCATGTATTACGCGTACGTACCTTAAATTCAAAAACAGGTTTGATTGTTTGTTGTTTAACGTCCCTTTCGAAAATTTATTCACTCACATGGAGATGCCAAGACACCTCAGAAACACTCTTAATTAGTCATGGTAAATTTCATTAACGACTTGTGTCAAGAGTGAAGAATTTCAACTAGATGAAAGCATAAGATTGAGACGTCGCCAAAAGAGAAGAGCTAATGCCCTGTAATCACATGTGGACGCCATTTTGTTTCCAACTAATGCTTGAAAATCACAGTACAACAATGTCGGCCGTTCTGATAAAAACTGATTTTGATGAAATTGTATTTTATAAAACATGGTTAACAATAAAAAAAAATATTTTATCATCTTATTTAAAAAATCTTTTCAGTCGGTGCGATTTAATTGGGTCGGTCGCGTTAGGGGAAACAAAGGTATTTTTTATTTTGGCCTTATTTTTTCTGTATGTTTTTATCACCCTCAATATTTGGTGAATTTTGATATTATGCCCCAGTAATGAAGATTCAGGGGGTTCAATATACTGAGTTTTTGCCTTGTCCATCCATGCATTTGTCTGTCTATCCATCTGTTTGCCTTCAAAAACTATAACCTTGCTTATAACTTTTGAGTGGGTGGGGTTATAACTTTCATATTGCACAGGTGTATTCCTTGTGATTAGACCTTCCTTTAGGTATTCCAACAATTTTGACACTGACCTTTGGAGTTTGACACGCAATTGAGAAAACTCAACCCTCACCATAAACTGACATACCGGGGCATCAGTGTTTCATCACAAGTACATAAGTTTCTTGTTCGTCTGTTAGTCTGCCTGCTTGTCAGAAAACAATTACCTTGTATGTAATTTTTGTTAGCTGTAAAGGATTTCGTGTATGTTTATTTATGATAAGACTTTCTTCACAGGGTAATGATGCAGTTTTGTTTATATGTAAATTAATACATATATATCAATTGTAGTATTTGTAGTATAAATGGACAGTACATTAACAAAATATCTTCACTTTAATTTCAAGCTTAATGACTTTTAATAATTTGATATATAAATGCTTTAAAGTTAATAAATTTATTATTTTTAAAGAGCAACCAACTTTGAGGATGAGTACAGGCTACTTAGGGAGAGGAGGTTTATTGTGGGAGAGAATGCTATCCTTGATCTCTTGAAAAGAAGTGTGTGTGAGGAATGTGGAGATCCGATAATACCATCTAGCATTGAAGAAGGGGAGAAAATAGCGGCAGGGATCAAGTTCAAGTTTGTTTGTATAGTAAGTTCTTATTTTTCATCTATCAAAATAAAGTTTTTAATAGAATTTTTCCGTAATTTTACAAATTGGTAATACATTCTTTTTTATTAATAAAAGCTTGTTAGTTACATGTATTATACATCAACTGTCTAGATTTGTATGGCATTGCACAGAAAGGTAGCTGCAGACCTGTAGCTATCCGGAAAAATATATATGGATAGACCGGATATCAATATATATTTTTCCGGATAGCTACAGATCTGCAGCTAACGGAAAGGTAACAAAATTTTACATTTAAATATAAAGTTGTTAGAATTGCACATACTACATAATATACATCATAGAATTTTAAAATTTATTTTTACTGTGCAACAGAATGGTCATTTAGGGAAGTGGTTATCTTCTCCCTTTTATGGAGGCCGGAGTTTCATTAGCATGCTTTTACAGCTAATGGTTATATTGTCTGGTGAGTGAATTTACATAATTTATATGAAAATTTTTTTTGCTAAAAGGTTGTGTATTCAGTTTATAATTTTGTTTTCTAAATATGTATTGACTAATGCAAATTTTAAGCATTGTTTTATAAAGATAGCAGCACTCAGAAATGTATTAATAGAAAGCTATATTAAGATTAATTTTTCAGGTTCTTCTTGGGAGCAGTTTGCCATGGGAGCAAGGTTCATTAACCTTGCTATTGGAACGGCAAGGCACTTTTACCAGATGCAGCTACAGTACAGGGTAAATCAGTATTCTTACACTGTATATCATGGTTATTAATTGATTCATACACTGTTGGTATATGAAATAATAACACACCTTAAAAGTTTATTTTTGAAATAGAAATATTTGGATAAATTTAATATCTGGTTTTATATAGGTTTCTATAGAAAAATTTTTCAAGAAGCACTTAACTGAAGTGAGAGCTTCTCTTGGAGGAATACCTATTAGTGTTGCTGTTGACGTACGATATGACACACCAGGTAATAAAATGAATTGCAAAATGTGGAGCCGCATTTATGCAGACACTAACTATTCAAATACTTTACCATCTAGACAAAAATGTGGACAATATACATTTATTGACTAAGTTTGAGGGCAACATGCATTTTGTAGGACCCAAGAACCAAACTTTTAGCCTGAGGCCATTAGGCTGAAGGCAGACAGTTTGGTTCGAGGGTCGATAAAGCGTATTTTACCCGAGAACATGGTCAATAAATGTTTTGTTATACCTTTTATTTATTTATTTTTTTTGGACATGCATGAATTTTGTATTGTCTTCCATGATATAACCTCAGGTCCATCAATTTTGGACACCAATGAATGAAAATGTGATTTAGCTCTGCCTATTCTGGGATGTAAGTGGTTCAACATCTCGTTGACCAGTCTAACATCTCACTCAGTGGTTCAATATGGATTATTTTATGACTGCTCGGCAAAACATTACAAATGTTAGACTTTTTAGCTCACCTGAGCCGAAGGCTCAAGTGAGCTTTTCTGATCAAAATTTGTCCGTTGTCTGTCGTCGTTGTCTTTGGCGTTGTTGTCGTCGTAAACTTTTCAAATTTTCTTCTTCTTCTCAAGAACCACTGGACCAATTTCAATCAAACTTGGTACAAAGTATTCTTGGGTGAAGGGGAATCAAGTTTGTTCAAATGAAGAGCCAGGCCCTTTTCCAATGGGAGATAATTATGAATTAGAGAAAAATTAATGGCATTTTTAAAAAATCTTCTTCTCAAGAACCTCTGGGCCATGAAAGATGAAACTCATGTGGAATCATCTTCAGGTAGTGTAGATTCAAATTTGTTCAAATCATGACCCCCGGGATTAGGGTGGGGCCAAAAAGGCCGATCAAAGTTTTACATAGGAATATATAGGAAAAATCTTTAAAAATCTTCTTCTCAAGAACCACTGAGCCAGGAAAGATGAAACTCATGTGGAATCATCTTCAGGTAGTGTAGATTCAAGTTTGAACAAATCATGACCCCCAGGGGTAGGGTGGGGCCAAAATGGCGGATCAAAGTTTTACATAGGAACATATAGGGAAACCTTTTCAAATCTTCTTTTCAAGTACTTCAAAGCCATTATTAAATTTATGTGGAATCATTTCATAGGTAGTTATATAAGTTTGTTCAAATCAGACCCCCTTGGTGGATTTCAAAATGTAGCCCCCCCCCCCCCCTAAGTTTACTTTTTCTGATCTGATCTGTGCTTTTTTTTTTCCTAGCCAATTGTTATAATATATGCCCCTGGGCCTCTTGTTTCATATAGCTTTCTATAGGAACAAATTTTTAAAGGTATAACAATTTTTATTTAGTAGTCTAGGGGCTTCATTATGATAGGTTTAAAAAGGGTCCTCTGTACAGATTCAGTAAAATTATAGACAGTTTGTCTTATCTGAAATATCTATTATTTTTATATACCTATTTGACTCAATCAATGCTAAACTTTCTTTCAAAAAGGATTCTGTGCGAGTAGGTCCACAGCTGTTTTTATGGACAGCAACACAAAGGCCATTGTTCATATGGAGGTGGGAGACTGTCGGGAAGTTGGGAGGCACAGCCCGAGAATGGAGAAGTTATTAGTGGAAAAGGGTCTGACCCATTTAGTTCTCACATCTCAACTAGTGGTATGGGAGGTGATCTCAGATGCCAGCAGAACAATCATTGCCCTTATGAGTAATTTTTGTTATTTTCAAGACATTGAAGACATAATACAATGTATAAGTTTACATTTAGAGCATATATTAATAATACATGCAATACATTTCATAATATTATATAATGAATGGCAGGTTTGTATTTCAAAATGTATAAGTTGTTGTTTTTAGAGAAATCAGCTTGTTTTTAATTATAGCCATAAATTTATAATATATGAATACATAAATGTTATGTGTACTAATTTATAAGTATTTTTTAAATTTGGATAAAAATAACTTACATGTAACATAATATGGATTTTTCTGTTTACAGAGACAGACCCATTTAAACACTTGAGGCACAGTCTGGACGTCTGGCACAAGTCAAAAAAATTGGCTGCTATGTTAGCAGAACTTGCCAAAAAATCTGCCTACAAAGATCTCAGACCATGGATAAGGCCAATAGTAAACCATTTCTGGTGGTGTTGTAGCAGTTGTAAAGGCAGTGTCGACAGGCTTATTAAAAGGTGGATGACAATTCTTCATCATGTTGTCAACAACCATGCATGGCCAGGTGGAAGGTACATATAATCCCTTATAGTTGTATGCAGTGTTACATGTACTTGTAGAAATAATAGAAAAAGAAAAAATTCACAACACATTGTGTTAATAACTATTTAAATATATTTATATGATATTGATCTTTCTCTATAAGTTAAAAAAAAATGTTTTTAAAGATTTATGACAGTATTTTAATTTTTAAGATTGTTGCATGAGTCCCATCATTTAAAGTCATTATAATATGATACATTATTTCAGATGCATGCATATTTCTTGAGGCTTTGTGGAACCTAATGAGAGTTATCCTGCTACTTCCCTAATAGCACATCATCAATCATCTTGCACAAAACCCTCCTATTCCTCTCACAGCTCCATTATCAATTTTAAAATGGGAGGTAAGTAGTTTTGTCACATTGTATTTATAATGCAACTAAAAGCTTGCCTTCTTTTTCAGATGTTTGCATCAAGAAGAAGAGAACATTGATATGAAATGGTTGAAGAGGGATTCATTGTCATACAAGGAACTGCAGTAAGATTCTAATAGTTTCTTATTTTATGAAAAGATACATGTATCACAAATGTTTTGATGTCAGAATTTATAGCTTTGTCACCAAGGGACAATAATTTCTTGTTAAAGGAACTATAAATTTTATTTCCTTCATACCCATTCCACATAAGTATTCGTGAGAGAGTAGTCACAGGGAAAAGGCCTGACTTTTTCAGGGAATAGTCCTCATATGAGGGATAAAGTCTCTACTCAGGGAAATAGCTTCATGGTATTAATTTTATATAGATCGAATATTAACAGTTGTGGTATAATAAAGAACCATATAGGATGTGCAAGTCATCACCAAAATGCCGTTTGTATAACTATATAAGCTAATGAAAAATATGTTTTTCAGTAAGACATATGTCATAATAATTTTTAGGAAAATGGTCACAAACAGACAATGGTGTGGTTCTTTGAGCTACTATGTAAGCTGCCAGCAGACATGGGCCATAGAAAATTTCTTCAGCCACACCCTACTACATTATTGCCCCAAGCAGAAGTCGTATAGTTACGATTCTTGCAACATTAAAAATATGTTGGCTGTAATGGATCATAACTATCACAGACACAGGGATGCAGCAACAAGTCAAGATGGTAGAACATTTACCCAGGCACAGATTTCACGGCGAACGAAACAGTGGGTGTCATATGAAAGAAGAAATCCAAAACAGTATGCCTATATTCCAGGTAATACATGTATTTGAAATTATTATATTATCTTTCACATAAATTAAGATATTGAAAAAAAAAAATGCTGCAAATTAAGAGAGAAAGAATTTTTACTTCTAAGAAATAACTGGTAATTTTACATATGCAAAACTTGTATTCAGTAACTATTTTTTAAGAGCTTATGGCCACCTGTATGCTGGAAACTTATGGAAAGTCTGTGTACACATATAGCAGAAGTGAGCAAGCAATTTCCTTGGATGGTTTATCTAACAAGCCAAATCCAGAATATAAAATACAGCTTGCTGAAATGAAAAGCAGAAAAAAAACAGGTAACAATAATTTCATTTAGAGATTTATTCAGAGTCAGAATGTGCAGAGTGGTACCCAGTGTAGTGACCACTTGGTGGCTCAGGAAATCTTTGTCTGACTGTACGGCTAACACAGGCTGGTACAGGAATACGTCTTCCAGAACCAAGACGGCCATGTTGCCATAAAATAAAATTCCTATAGGCCTGATTCCTAAATTTGGAAGGGCTAAAGGTAGGATGTTGGTGGGTCCGGTAGCTCCAATTCAAAATATTGGCAACCTCCAATACATCATGCCTCAAGCACAGATTGCGAAATTCTGGCTTGAAGGTGATGCAAGAAGGTCGCCCACAGCAGATGTTCATGCGGGGATCATCAAAAACATGACATCTCTGACATGAACACTATACTGGTTTTGAAATGGAGCTACCAGAGGCCTGACCAGCATCACGTTGCTCTCCAACTAGGAAAAGCCTTATGAAGTCGGGTTCTGCTCTGATGGCTGCCTTCAAACTTTCCCGGACCTCACTCTCTCCCATTCTGTCTACTGCAACCTACAAAAGAAAAATTACCTATTATATGCTAATATAACCTTTAAATGTAATGTTTCATTACATTGAACATTTTAATTTTTAAATAGTCTCAGGATATGTCATCCATACTAAAATTATTCTTAGGAATGTATTCATGACTGATAACTTTGGAACAAACTTATGTAAATAGGTGAAATTCTGAATAACAAGTTAGAAAAAAAATTATTTCCTTTTCATACAGTGTATAAAACATACCAACAATGACTCATTTTCATGCACGTCCACTCTATTTTCAGGCATGGCAGCAAGTTCAAGGCGCTGATTTAGACTAGGGCCTCCATCATCTGATGGCTGATTTCTGACACTGTTCACAGCATATGGTTGATGACGATTCTGTGACCAAAATTAATGGACATGTATATCTTACCAAATTTTATGTATTTTATTTTTGATAAGTTATGTTGTTGAAAAAAAGGTTTAAGATGAGACATTTACCTGTCCAGTAGACGAGTGCTTGAATTGGCAGCAGGGATTTACACAGTTTGTGCATCCCCTGCGTTTGCATTGGCAGCTTTTGCACTTCCCTCTATTTTCACAGGGACAGCATTTCTGTTAATAGACATACATGTTTTATTTGTTATGTAAAATATTCATCACTTTTTCATTACATCACCTCAGCTGAAAGCTCAGATTAGCTTTTCTGATCAACTGGTCACCATTATCTGTCTTTCTGTACATCTGTAAACTTTTCACATTTTCAAATTTTTCAATAACCACTATTGAATATTTTTACCAAAGAATGTGTGACCCATCATTTTCTTTGCTAAAGGATGCATTTTGGCAAGTTTTGTTAAAACTGACCTAGTTGTTTTCTAAAAGGTTTTTAAACATGTTAAATTTAAAAGTTTACAGACATAAGGACCATAGATTAGGTAAAGAAAAAAAAAAATTTTAATTGTTAAATTTAAAAGTTTACAGACAGACGGACCAAAGATCAGGTAAGAAAAAAAAAATTTTTTTAAATTGTTAAATGTTAAAAGTTTACAGACAGAGGGACCATAGATCAGGTAAGAAAAAACAATATATATATTATACATGTATATACATGTTTATATATTTTTCAATTGCTTAGTATATATATATATAAATATTTCAATTGCTTAGTTTTCCCTGATTTTATTTGTAAATCCAGGCATAATAATTGGAATGTAATTGGTTTCAACAAAACGCAATTCAAATATTTTTTTTTAATTTGCTCAAACCTCAAGAACACACATATACAAATATACAATTATTTGATCAAAGTGTTAAAGATGTAAATAAATTCTGCCTGAAATATGTTGTCTTTATGTATTTAAAACTGTATATATTATAAAGTGCCACTTTTTAGAGACTGTTGTTACATTCATATAAGTACATTTTGTACAATTTTTAAAATTAAATGCCTGAAATTTGTATGTATTTTTCTTTTTGGGGGTGGAGTGGGGTGGGTGAGGAGTTCAAAAAGTTACTTTGACTTCTCTCAGTAAAGAAGATGCAATTAATCAATTATCAATGCACATGAAAATTTATGGATTGCTTTGTGTTTTCAACATATTCCTTGACATGAAGAAAATTTAGCAGAAATTCATATTTAATTTTTTTTTGGGGGGGGGGGTGATTTATATGGAATGGAAATGTTACTGTACACATAATACATGAATATACAGAGATATTTTTTTTCAAATGATATCATATAATTTCAAATACTCAACATTTAAAAATAATTAAACCTTTACCCACTTTCATTTTGGAGCTATTATAAGGAAGTATTAAAATTTTATAATACTTCATTTCAAAATTTTAAAAGATGCCTCAAGTATTGTTTTTCTGCAAACAGACAAGTAGTATCAGTGGGAAGTGGGGGAATAGTTAGAGCTTTCCAAGTTTTTTGTATGCATTACCACTTTTTGTTTCCGTAAAGTCAAACCAGGGCTATGTGTTTATAAGACAAGTTTAACCCCACCCCCCACCCCCCTTTTTGAGTTCTGCTTTTTTCTTTGTAAAAGTTTCAGGTTTATTTCTTTCTTCCTGGGGATGCCCCTTCTTCCTCAAAATGGGACTACGTTCCTGGCAAAATGAATATATACCGGGTATTATTGCTTTTATTTTCAATTTATTATTTTATTTTCAAAATAAGGACAGCTCCCCGATCATGGGAATTCAAACGCTTTGAATTTCAAGCGCATTTAGGATAATGACCGTCACGCTTTTGACGATCGTGCTCGAAATAGCATACCATTGTGTATTGTATGTATTGTGTACAGTTGCATTTTACGTTTTTATTGGATTTATTATTCTTGTTGGATGTTACTTACTGGTGCATTAGATGCCATTTCATTGAAATGAGGCAGAATTGTTCACTGCAGACTCTTGAAAAACGACGTGTAATATCTTCTCTCCGCGCAACGTATACCTGTGTACTCAGGTAAATTACAAACACCGAAATGCGATGAAGCGTGATAATGCTCTCACCCTATATATAGCAGTTCTGAGAGACAATAAAAAATGAACTAAAATGGCGGATAAGTAGACAAATATGGCGGATAAAGGCGAACGGGGATAAAACAAGTCGTACAAAGATGAAAAGGTTCAGTATTTAAGAGTTCATGTCAGCTTTAGTTTAAAACCATGGACTTCATGAAAAATTTTATTTTTCAGAAAATAAAAAAATATTTTAATTATATGACTACATATTTGCTCAAAATATGCAAACAAATAAAGAACATGTTGATCTGTTAAAAAGTATCTGCATTTTCACAGTTGTTTTCTCTTCCCGCCATATTTCTAAGACCGGCGATCTCCAAGCCGGTCATTTCAGACCGGCGCATTCGGCGTACGCCGGCGAACCTTCCCCGGTCAAATGAAGTAACAAACCGGGTTACGAAAGGTCAAGCGGCGCATTCGGCGTACGCCGGTATGACAAATGAAATCCTACCAAGGAGAATTGACAATGACGTGGTTTCTACATTTAGATTTGTTGACGCGAAGGGAAAACTGGTTCTCGCAGAAAAGTAGATTCTGCAAAAAATTAACGAAGAGTGGTCAACACTAATTTTATGTTAATTTTTTAGTCTGTAATTGGACTTATTAAATTAATTCCTGTCAAACTTTAATGATAAGCTCCTTTTAAATGAATGATAATTATTGTTGATAATTCCGTATTGTGTTAAGAAAATATAGTTCAAGGAAAGTATTATAATTTAAGTAAATTGTAAACACCCAGAAGCACAAAGACCGCTTGAAAGTAGAATAAAATTTCACTAAAAATCGCCTTTAGTGCTCTCGCAGACGTCCATGCTTTTCATATACATATTGCGGCCACAAAAAACTGCCTACTTTACGGAGTTTGCTGAATTTAAGTCATTTGAGAACTTCAAGTGTAATAATCCATATATTCATTGCATTCAAATATTTCCCCTTCTGCTTTATTCTTTGACATTATTGATACCAAAGAGATGACATTTCAGGCTTTCTGGAAAGCCAAATTTGTTTTCCTATATATTTCATTAGAAAAACGTCAAATCTACAATACAAGGTTTGAAGTGATATAGCATAAAAACAACTTAAGCAAAATTGCTGAATTTTTACACAATGAAATAAAAATTCTAAATCATAGTACTCAGAAGTACAGAGAGCCGGGCTCATTCACAGAGTAGAATGGATTTCTTACACAAATCACGTTTTTATTCTTATGAAAAAATTATTTTAAAACCATCAATGTAAATAATAAGACACTGACAGTCTCAAGGTCCGATTTTATCAGAATTAATCTGGTACCGCAGCTGAATGTAAACAGGCCAGTCTGGTGCCCTCTCCTGCTTTACCTCCTATGTGTAGAAAACTATGGTAACACTGATTATTAAAAATCCTTACGCCAATGAACTTTGTTCTTTGACTTATGAAGTTTTCAAAGTCAGTACTACTAATGGTGATTTTATATAGATAGAACTTCGTTTGATTTTTGTGGCTTTATTTAGCGTTTATATTATCTCAAAAGCGGTTGAGAGTAAGAACTATATTTTTGCACGTAACTTTTAAAAAGCGACTATGGGGTCAACATTCTGCCTTGAACAGGGTCACATAAGCCAGCAGTTGCTCTTTGAGCAATAAGCTCGGCTAAAAACAACTTGACAAATGCATGGCAATTAATGTGCAAGTTAAGTACTGTATAATTACCCAATGCTTTATTATCCTATTATGGACAGTACATCAATGTATGTTGAATTTCCTCGATATTCATGTACGTGACCTGTGTATGTACGTTATATCTGAACATTTTTTGACATCATGTAAAGATTTTTTTCTAATTAGCTGTAAAATTCTAATTTATTTTTCAGATAAGAAATAACACTGTTGTTTGTTCGAGGCATTTTAATAAATCGAACTTTAGCTCCCCATTAGTAAGAAAGTGTCTTAAAGCTAATACATGTACTACCCAATCTGTCTTTCCTTGGACCCTCATCCACCCAGAAAACCTCCCAGAGAACGTCACCACTTACCTTCAAGTAGAACAATTCTAATAGAACTACCAAGTAATTTAGTTCACCAGCTTGAGAGAACAGAAATAGTGAATCATCAAACAGACTCCACAGATCCCCAAAGTCAACATTGTGACAGTGATCAAGATGACAAAGCGTAGGTTCTTTTATATAAAAAAAATTGTTCTCCGTTTTATGAAGTTCATTTATAAATGAAATTCAATTAATACATTGAAAAAATTGTTGAAAATTTTGGTGTAGCAAAATTTTATTGGGCTACATGCCATGGTAAGGCTAGGGTATGCTGGTACATGTGGCACTTTTAAAATATTTCAAGAACTATTATATCTGGTATTCAGTTTACAAAATGTAAATGATTAGAAGAAAATAAAATAATAATTTTTAATAAAATACCATGTGTATCACTGATATATATTTTACAATCACCTTTTGGGTATAAATAAATGATAATTGCTTCCCAGAGACTTGTTTGCTTTCCTCCGATTTCGTTTAAGCGATGGCCGGGGGGGGGGGGGGGTAAGGGATCTGAGGGAGGGAGGAGAGCATCTTCTAGGTCCTTCTTCTTCGCATTCATCTGAGCTTCGGTACCAGAGTGTGGGACAAGTGCTCGATCGACTTCCTTTGGTCGGCCCAACTGAACATCACACTCCTCCCCGATTCTGATCGGCATTTAAGTCTTTAAGAATTCACGTTAATCATCAACGTTTTCCCTTCAATATTTTTATCCAATTAAAGCGTGAAACTTTAAAATTGTGACGACGAAAAAGTTTCAAGTTTAAGCAAACTCAAAGATATCTTAAATTTTTAGAAAAGAACATCAACATTTCACTACAAAAAAGGTTTGTATGCAACTAGCATGGAAAAAAAAGAATC